TGTAAAACGTTCGCCCAAATTCAAATACTGGAGTTTACAGACTGAGTCTTTTTGACCAGCTTTGTTGCACATGCGATCACATAACACAGAACACGATAGTTCTCTTCATTTGCATGCAAACAAAGCTATCAAAGTTAATGAGCTGCTTGCGTTAACGCAAAGCTAACCTGCGTTAACGAGGCATTGGCATGGTTCTAACTCGATCTTAACATGGCGTTAACCTAAGTCAACGTGTTAGGTAAGCAATAGACTGGCGCAGTCGGGGAGATTAATTTGTTTTTGTAGTTTAAGTAAGATTAAAAAAATCTTATCGATTTTTCTATTGCCGGTGCATTTTATGATGGAAAATTGCATTGAGGATGCCGAGATTTACGCCTAGGAAATTGCAGATTGCATCTAAAGGCACCTAAATTTTTCCTTTTTCCCCCAGACCCTTACTCGTGGCTACGCGCTTTCGGTGCTCACATTAAATTTTCAACCCGTGGAGAACACTGCTACGAAATCAATGATGTCTCAGTTTTATTTTCCCCAAAGAGACGTAATATTTCCCTCTTATATGGTGAACTATTGTCATTTGCATAATTTTTTTCAGAGGAAGTGTTGGACTAACTCCTGAAAAACATAATTTTTGAAGCTGAGTGCCCTGAGTGCTGAGTGGACGAGTATAGTAAGTCAAGGATTCAAGAGCCAAAAGGACTACAATATGCCTTTTTAGTAGCACCTACACTTACTTATTACAAAGGTGTTTCTATTTATCAGAGTAACTCGTATATTTTTTGAGAAGTATTTTGTGTATGTCCTGTATTGACAAGTATTCCTGCCTTTAAAGTGCCTGTGAAATGGCTGCTATTTTCACGCCTAAAATTATCAATTGATACATAAATATTATTAATTTTTATGTTTCTAAGCATGAATTATGTTTAAGTGAAAAAATGTGTTTTAAACTCAGTCTACGGCAACTTTATTTTTGTGTATTTTAAAACGACGCTCCCCATTAGCTTCTCATTTGCATACAGAAATTTCCTTTGTGACGTCAGAAGGGGAAGTCGCATGGCAGCTTGCAGTGCCGATACGTGT